GTGGGGTACCCGCTTGTTTCTTAGTTCATTCATTCTCGTTTCTTCTCACCAACGACTAAAACAGGCTCGACTGGGGCAGTCAGATGACTGCCGCACCATGGCCCTGTTCGATAGCGAGGGTGACCCATGCCAGAAAACATTGAGGTGACCTTGTTCCTTGGGCGGGAAACGGTTTGCGACCTCATGCGATGGTGCATAATTCCCGCCAGCGCGAACGACCCACCTGCGATCTCCACGGTTTCCCGCCCATCTGCTAAAAGTTGGCGGGAATCTTGACGAGGTACTTTGACACCACAGCGCGCAAGAACAGTAACTCCCGCCTAATGATTACAGCCCCTCCCTGGTAAAACACCAGACCATTGTCGGACCATTGCCAAAGTTGCTTTTCAACTAAATCGCTTCACTGCCAGACCAATGGGCTATTTAGGGGTAGTCTAATCTAGCGGTTTCCCTATCTCTAACTGCCCAAAAGTAGGGTAAAGAAAAACAGAGCATGCCCGGTCGAATCTGAGCCTTTTGACTCTTGAGACTTGCACATTTCGCAGCTTCGTACTACGTCGCGATTTGTGGAGTCCAGTGCCTTAGCGACATACAGCGAATTAGGAAGTGTGTTTCGCGAATTAGGGTTTCCTTGCAGAGATGTTCTACGTTTATGGTTTTTTTTTTCCCCTACATCCAGCGGTATTTTGTTTTTCGGTTTTTTCCGCCTTCACCTGTCAACTTTGGGGGAACCCTCGTCCGCTTCAATGGGCCGTTAGGGTGGATCTTTTCGACACCCTGCACGGTTGAGTTCGGTGAAACAAGTCGGCGTTGGGGCGGCCAAATAATAACACTGCCGGCCCAGAGGCCCCACTTGCACTTTGTCGCGACCCTCAACCATTTGGGCGACAGGGCCATTCCAAACGGTTGCATCCTGGAAGCCCCAAAAGCTATCGAACAGGGCCCATGTTTCACTTGAGACTCGTGAGAGGCCGACAGGCTCGTCGTGACGTGAGTCGCCACTCGTTTCGATTAATGTATCACGAACCTCGAGTCGCGACGGATCTCTTGGAAAGCCCTCGGTTTCTTCGCGTAGGACCTTTAGGTACAAAAGGCCCAACACTGTACAGTATTCTGTTGACCTTGAGTAGTACTACAAACACCATGGCTTGCACGATGCAATCCTCGTTCGAACTTCTTTTTGAGGCGCACATTGCGTTACGTAAGAGTCCATACGACGCGGCGCACGCAGCTTCCTTGCACAATTCCGTCCTGATGACGACGCCCCACTGGCGCTTTTGGCTTTTTGGCTTCTTGGCTTGTTGGCTTTTGGCTTTTGCTACCCCGTCCCCACACCCGCGATTTGCGGTCGGATCGCTTGGTTCAGCGGAAATAAGATGGCGAGCGAGAATGATAACAGCGGCAGCACGAGGAGGAGACATTCTTCTCACGGAAAACGTTCGCCGAGACTCGGAATTGGAGTATCGGCCGCCTTCCCCTAGCCCAACTCCGACTCTTAAACCGCTTCACGACGGGACCTCCGACTCAGTCACTAGAGAGCCACCACTCAGTCACTAACGACTCGGAGATCTCCTCCTAGGTGACTGTGGCTCAAAGCCTCGTGCGGCTCCGAACTGCCTCGGCAATCCCTCTAACGGCGTACTCCGTACAACTGCTACTACTGCTGTTGCTACTGCTACAATGGCGCCGCGTCATGGGCGTGTTATTAATCCGGCGGTTGTTCTCAGCGCGGCCGAGCAGCAGTCCCGTGCTGCTACTGCTGACGACAAGACAGCGGCAGCCCACCTCAAGGCTCCTACCATGCAGATGCAGAGTGTGACGACAACGAGGACCGTTGAGGCGCGGCCTCGAACGACAAGGACTGCGAGGGGCTACAACCGTTGTGACAGCAACAACCGCCATGGCGCCGATTCCACTCACATGCACATCTCGCGAGGCCCTCCTGTGGCGCGCCCCGTGCCTTGCAACATCATGGCCGGCTGCTGCTTCCAAGGCTATCATGATGCCACCTGTCTTCCAGCTTGCGAGGCGGCTCAGGTGAAGGTAGCGCTACGGCAGATCACAAGAAGAGCTCCAGCAGCAGCAACAACAGCAAGAGAAGCAGCAGCATCAGCAACATCAGCAGGAGCAGCAGCAGCAACAGCAGCAAGAGAAGCAGCAGCAGCAGCAGGAGCAGCAGGAGCAGCAACAGCATCAGCATCTGGCGCATCGATAAGCATTGCGCGAGCGTTGCAGCATCACCAGGATGAGCAGCAGAATCAGCGCAGGCAGCGACGCCATCATCATCGTCACCTGCGCGTCATGCCGCCCAACGCGGGGTGCCCCATTCCTCCTCGCCCCTCCCACCCATCGCTTGCCTCCCGCAGCTTCCCTCGCAGAACTTCTCTGCCTCTCTGGCAGCTCACCCCGCCCCCCAATTTGCCTCATTCCGCTGCTCCCTCCACTCACATCTCTCCTCCTTTCACCCCCTCCCTTCCCTACTCTCCGATTTCTGCTGTGGCTCCTGCGTTCCTGTCAACCTGTTCTGCTTCTGCTTCTGCAAAAGAATCCCCTTCCTCCTCCAACCGTATTCACTTCAATGGCTTCCCATCCGCCCACTTTTCCCATATCCAGCATTCACAATCAGCCACTGTGGTTCCCGAGCGTGAGCTCGTCCGTAGATACTCCGCTCCTGTCCTGCGCCTGAACCTGTCCAAAAGCCCCGGCATAAGCCCCGTCAACAGCCTTAGAATCAACCCTAGAGGCAGCTTTGAGTCCATTGCAGACCAGCTGAGCTCCTCCGAATCAGAAGATCAGGGTCGGACAGGCCTGAGTCCGAGACGCTCGTGCTTCAATCCAAAACGGGAGAGCCCGGATTACGCTGCCACTCGAAAGCTTGTTCGGCGCGTATCGTTCAGCAGTATTCTGCAGGTTAGAAGGGTCATTGACCTGCTTGCTGATGCTGACAAGTGCTGTAGTGACAGTGATGGGAGATACTCGAATGCTATCTATTCTGGCCAATGGTGTGGCGATGCTATTCCCTGCAGCACGAGGGAGCAGCAGCAACAGCAGCAAAACACATCTCGTGACTCCTACTCCAGCCTTTCGGCTTCGTTTGACTCCTCCCCATCCTCTTCGTCTTCCTCATCCTCCTCTCTCTCCCTATCACCCTCCACTAATCCGTCTCACCATCTGAAGCCCCATCCCCCTCCTCGTCACAACTGGTCCCACTCCTCCCTCACCTCCTCGTCCCCACTCTCACCTTCCTCCTGTTCCACATCCCACCCACATGCCTCCCCCTCCCCAGCCGCTAGAAGGCTGATCGCACAGCTTCGAGCATCAGCAGCAGCAAGTCAGGGCAGCAAGCAAGTTGTGACTCGTGCATGAGTGCCATGAGTACGGTATTTAGACCCACAAGTGCCCCACTGGTTTTCGCCTACAGACCAAACCAGTGTATAATTAGTCAGATTTGAGCAGAAGGAACAAAAGTTAGTATGGACATGATCAGGGTTTATTCCATACTGGTGTTTAACCCTTGAGATTGATATAAAACCTTGTATTGTTATTAAGGAAAAACTCCAGAGAATCAGCATTATTGAAATCCGGGTGGAGTGAGATAAGAAATATCAAGAAAATAAGTCAAGTCCCGATTTAAGGACGTATATGTAAGCAGGGAAAGACTGAGCTGCACATTCGCGAGCAGCGTGTACCGCGTACGGCTCCTTACCTCTGTTGCTTGTGCTGCACGCCATCCTGCCCTTTCGCCGCTTTACAACCCACCAGACCCGACCCGATCCGACCAGTACACTGTTTATGACACCAAAGCGATGCCATAGATACGCCCTGCCTCAGGCCAGCAGGCACGGGCCGCGTGCGTGGTATGACATCATCATCGTATTCTTCTTATCGCCTATTCTCCTCCGCCGGTCGCTTATGAGAAGCCCCCTAACCAGGCAAGCCTGCTCTCGTCGTTGTGCGTTGTGGTCTCGCTGGTTCCCCCCCGCCTTGTTCCTTAGGCTCCCCGTAAGCTTATTCTGGATTATCCCGACTTGAGGTTGTCGTCAGCACTAGCGTAATTCCAGGTCAGCCACCGTTGCGTGGCGCCGCGGACGTGACGGCGGCCGTTACTTTTCATCGCCCGCATTAGCGCGAGTAGAAGTAGTAGCAATTTTGTGCCCTCACCTCATCCTGGGTATTGCCGACGAGTAGTAGAAGCGCTAGCGTCTTCCATACCGTGAGATTCTGCAACCACTACTACCACCACGGTGTTTTGGACAGTAAAGTGGGACGCGTAGATGGGCGTGTTCGCAGGCGCAATGCTCGTAGCGCACCAGGCTGTTGTGCAATCTGTTCCAGCTAAGCCGGCGTTGAATTTCCGCAGTCAACGATACCGATTCCAGATCAGTACTACGAGCGCGAGCCACTCGTCTCCCGTCGCGAGGCCGCGCCGCGCATCAACCTCCTCGTTCCTTTCGACCAATGATGCAACCACAAGTTATCATCCCTGCAGCGGCGCGGTGGGAACGGCGGCACAGACTCGGGCTCTTACGCACGGCGCGGTCGTCGGGAGTCCAACCAGTCGTTACTTCTCGACAACGGAGTCCGCATCCTTCGCCGCATCGTCCGCGTCGGGCGCGTCGTCACCTTGGAGCAGCAGCAGCGCTACTAACGCAGCCCATAGAGCAGCCAATCTCTTCACGAGAATCCACAGCCACCCGCCGCGGCGCTACCCGTCGCGAGAATCAATCCCCTCGTTGCTGTCACCCCGGGCCGCGCCTGCACTCACGTCCGCGTTTACCGCAAGCGATCAGTCCATGCAGTTCCGCAAACGCGCGTACGATCAGCAAACTGATTTTTCTCCCAACGTGTGGTCGGGCCGCGGAGCGAGCTCGGTGTCCCTTCGCCAGCCCCGCGCGTTTCTCGGGATCTTCAGTCCCGTGGTCGCCGCAATCGTCGCCGCGTTTGCCGCTGTGTTCGTGGTCGGAGCCGCACTGAAAGCGGTCGTCGCGATTACCTTCGCCATGGTCGCGGTTTCCGTTATCCTCCCCATCGCATTCTTCGTTTTGCTGTTCTCGCTCCCGCTCTTCATCCCCGCGATACAGCTCGGAATAGCAGCCGCGGTCGGGACCGCAGGGGCAGCTTTCGCCCTCATCGCGACTATATTAGGAGCGGCATGGTCGTTTGGGCTGCTCAATCGCGGATCCAGTTCCCGCAGCAGTGATAAAGCCGGTCGCGGTGGAAGGCGGGGGAAGAGAGGGAAGCGCAGCAGTGATTTTGAAAGCGAGATGATGGATTACCTTGACTTGAGCCCCAAGGAGCGGGAGAAGATGAAGAAGGCGCTGAATAAGCTTGGCGTGAGGAGGTGGTTCAATGGCGCCTCAAGTGAGGATAATGAATGGAAGAAGTGGGTAGACTACATTGAGTGCAGTGAGGACGAGGAGGATAGGGCTGATGGGAGGAGGGTCAGGGAACGAAGGGATGCAGGAGGTGAAACGGAAAGCTTTTTCATGAGTAGCGATAACAAGCGTGGTGGTAGTAAGAAGGGGAGTGGCAGTGGGACAGGGGTATGGCTGGAGGAAGAGGAGCGGAAGCGGATGAAGAAGTTTGACGAGAAGCTGATTGAGAAGAGTGTGCGGAAGATGGGTGAGTGCTTGCTATTCTTAACATAAGATGATTGCATTTTGTCGGGAGATCACTTCGACTGCTGGAACCGTGTGAGTTATCGACAAGGACTCCCTTGTTCATTTGTGGCTTTTTTGCTTGTTGTATCGTGCTTGTGCTTGTGGTTGTGTTTGACAGGAGATCCATCTTCTTGGTCAGTAGATCAGGTGGCTTCCTGGCTTGAGCTGCAAGGCTTTGGTGCATATGCAGACACTTTCAAGGAACAACGCGTCTGTGGTGGGGTGAGTGCTTTCACCGCACTGATCTCTTTCATTTACGTTTTGGTGTTTTCATGCTTCCAAATAACGAGCTGTTTTGCTGCTTGATTTTCCACAGGTTCTGCTCAACCTGACAACGTCCGAGTTACGGGACGATTTAAGCGTGAAGAGTCTTGGTGAGAGGAAGTTGATGCTCGAGAGCATACTGGAATTGAAAAAGATTGGGGATTCGGCGTCAAGATAGTGGACAATTTCTTATGGCTGCTTTGTTTTTTAGAGGGCTGTTGTATTATACACTGTAAGGAGGAAGAATGCTTTGAGAGCACTATATTTTGCTGTACACCGACGCACCGCATCCTCTCGCCCTTGGCTCAGTGCTTTGGACGTGGAAACCTTTTCTGGTTACCATACCTGCACGATGCTTTGGTCGAGAAAAGTTGGCTTGCATTGCAAAAACTACCTCACGACGAACCTCGCTCACATCGCTACAAGTTTTCCTTGCCTCACAAGTTCAAGAGGCGCTGCTGACGTGCCTAATCTCCCGAGCCCCCACCGAACCCAACGACGTGTTGCGGCTGCATGGGGCAGCCACCCCCACAACGAGAATTTTATAGACTGCCCTTGAGAACCACTAACAGAAAGGTTTGGGAAAATCAGGTCGCCCATTGTGCACCTGCCCTGGTTGGTTCGGTTCGCGCCGCGCATAACCGCATTCTGGAATTGAGAGTGGAGGGGACATACCATGAAATTCTTCGCTGTTTCTTACAGAGCAACAAAACTCGAAGCTTGGGAGAGGATGGTTGTTCCAACAATGGAGGAACGAACAAGTATTTCGAGCAGCAAAGAACCGAGCTCCCAAGTACTGATGGAGAGATGGAGGTGGTAAGTACGTGATTTGGTGGCGGACGCCGTATTTAGAAAGTCTAACAAATGCTCTTAATGCGAATATAGGAAATGCGCGACGAAGCGTCATTCTCTAGTCACGCCAGCAGAAAACCACTGAGTACCAACATAGGAGTAAAAGTCAGCCACCCGAGTGTTTCTCTGAGTAGTTCTGCCACCACTTGTTATCATGCAGAACCAGCAATGATTACCAGGAGCGAGTAGATGGCAACGGTATTATCTCACAGACACCTTAGCTTTACAATGCGACTTTTATAGCCTACTACTTCCTCCAATAACCATGGTTAAAGCCATGGTAAAGGTAACATTTCCGTGTAACCGTCAGCCTTCGCCGGTAGAGCCGAAGCAGCGTTGCATGATACACAATCAGCGATGGCGCTGCGTAGAGAAACCGAAAGAGACGAGGGAGCAGCGGCGGACGGAACTCACGGAGCCGTGCTTCTCGCGTCTATGGCAGCGCGACGCGCAGCACACGATAGAGTGGCAAAACGAAGAGCTGCGCGGCAGGAGGCAGAGAGGGAAGCAGAGAGGGAGACGACGGGCAAACCTGAGGGGGAGGCATAAGGCGAGTTGTAGAGAAACGCGAAACGGAAGGGCGAGATGGAGACAGCGCGACGAGGAACAGAAATGCGTTTTCCAGCAGGAGCGACGGGAGCGGCGGGTGCGGCGAGTGCGGCGAGTGCGGCGAGAGGAGCAGAGGCAGCGGCAGTGGCACGGCAGCGGGTGGGAGCGAGGGCCGGGACGGCGGGGAGGAAAGAGCAGGGGGCTATACTGTCGGCATGGCAGCGCGTGGCTGCTTCGCTGTGCTCTCCTCTTGCTGCATCTCTTGCCTCTTACCGTCGACTCTCGGGACGTTCCAGGCATGTCCGCTTCTGCTGCTCTCCCTCTTGCAATTTCTTCTTCTCTCCATTTTGCGCCTGTGATTTCTTCACCTTCCCGCCATCTATTACTTCCCACAACCTGCGCCCCTCTCTCCCCTCCCTTTCCCTTCCTAGAGCCAGTCCCCCGACCTTCGTGCCCTTCCTCCCGTCCTTCATCTCCCCTTTCCTCAACCACCCCCAACCCCCCCTTCCCCCACCCTTACGTCCCTTCCTTATATCAGGCGGCCATCCCGCCGTCTACATAGTCCGCCTGCGCTCCGCGCCCGCCATCCCCGCATACGTCGGCGGAATCCCCGGTTTCCCCGCGACCGCCTCCCCTGTGGTTGTCGCGGAAGCAGCAGCGGTAGCCGCGGCAAGGGGGAATGGAAAACGAGTTAGACCTCACGGGATGACGACCGCAGCTGACGCGGAAGAGAATGACGAGTTGGACGATGATGACTATAACGAGGACGACGAAGATAATTACGGAGATGAAAATAACAATACCGAGTCGGATGTTCCAGATATGGCGGGTATCCGCGTTAGCGTCAAACCACGGACTGGCAGCGGCGGTGCGGGAGGGAAGGAGGTTCCGCGGGGACCCGTGCCGGCGACGCGCGGAGTGCGCGTGAACGTGCAGGCGGCGCACGTGAAGGCGTTTGCGCGCATGCTGGTGCGGCAGCAGCAGCAGGTGGTGGCGGAGACCCGCTTGAGCGAGCGCAACATGCTGTACAGGTGCGCGCTGCTGACCGTTGTAGTTGCGAGTGCGTGGGTGCATGGGTGGATGGGTGCATGGGGTGGATGGGTGCATGGGGTGGATGGGTGCATGGGGTGGATGGGTGCATGGGGTGGATGGGTGCATGGGGTGGATGGGTGCATGCGTGCATGCGTGCATGGGTGCATGGGTGCTTGGGTGATGAGTGACATTGGGATCGGATCAAAGCAAAAGTGGCAGCAGCAGCAGCAGGTGGTGGCGGAGACCCGCGTGAGCGAGCGCAACATGCTCTACAGGTGCGTGCGGGGCTGTCTCCCTGGTGGGACCCGTGGACTTTTGTACAGAAACTATGGTTGGATGCGTGAATGAATGAGATTCTGAGTGGATTCAAGCGACAGTCGCAGCAGCAGGCAGTGTGGCAAGGGCACGTGTGAGCGAGGCAAGCTGTTGCCAAAGTGGGGAGCGTGTGGGGCCTGTGCGTGGGTGAGCTGGAGGTTGTGTGTTTATGGGTCCTTGACACCTGCCAGTAAGCAGCAGGGAGCAGAGAGCAGGGAGTCTCGCTATGAATGAGTTGACGTATTCACCAACAGCAGTAGCAACTGGTGCGGTCGGTGACCAGGGTGTTCATGAGTTGTGTCCGTTTTGAGTTGACTGCTCACACAGCGGCACACAGCAGCACACAGCAGGTGGCGTGTTGGCCTAATGGATGCTGCGTACGTGAATTGCTTCTCTTCAAACCGCACACCAGCACACCGTACAGGCGGGCTTAGCTGGTGGGGTGGCTGGGTCAAGGGACAGGGATGGCTGGATGGAAGATGGCGGATGTGATTAGACAAGAAGTTCCCAAGGTTTGCACTGGTACTAATCTACCCATGGTCTTCCCACACCCCCTCCCACCTCGTCCAGTTACAAGTTTGCAGCCAATGGCTTCGCAGCGCGCCTCACGCAAGCAGACGTTAGGAGATTAAAGCGCCACGCCATGGTCGCTGACGTCACCAGGAGTTACGGCGTCCGGTCCGCTACCACCTACACACCGAGATTTTTGCAGCTGCCCGGATCCATGTGGAAATCTAGCGGCGGGGGGAGCCGGGCAGGTGAAGGAGTCGTGATCGGCGTGGTGGACACTGGAATATGGCCCGAGCACCCTTCGTTCCGAGTAGCTAACGTAAGATAATTTCATTATTATTATTACCACAGAGTACTCCGTTGACTCCACTGAACAACTGTTTTCCCCTGAGCTCAACTTTCTCCTACGCTGCTGCTTGCTGGAAATGTCTCAAGATCCATTGGCTTAATTGGAGGGTGTTCATTATTTCCTGTTTCTTCTCCTTGCTTCTCGGGCAGAAGAATGCGCGTTTAGGCCACTGGCGCATAAGAATCCTCTCTACTCCTCCCCTTCCCACGGATGCAGTCGCACTTGCAAGCACCCATCCACCCACGCACGTACCCAGACACGTCTCCACCCCCAATCCGCCTTCCCCCGTCCACCCAACATAAATTCCCCATCCGCTCCAGTCCTCGCACGTGTACCCGCGCCCGCCGCGCCGGTGGGCGGGCAAATGCGTGCGCACGCGCGACTTCCCCGCGTCACGGTGCACGCGCAAGCTGGTGGGCGCGCGCTTCTTCTCGCGCGCGTACGAGGCGCAGGGCGGCGTGGTGGACACGCAATACGACTTCCGCTCGCCGCGCGACGCGGACGGCCATGGCACGTGGTGTGCAGGGTAAGGGGGGTGTGCAAGGCACGACCAGAGAGAGCAACGGATGATTCTCCCATGATATATTGAGAATTCTCAAAAGTAACACCCATGGCACTTCTAGTGGTGTCCGTGAGACAAGGGACACTGCAAGTTAACATCGCCACTCCTTCCCCTTCCTTTCCCTCCCTCCTCTCTCTCCCCTTACTCCGAGGCACTGGCACCACCTAGCCTGATCTTCTTCTCCACTTCTTCCCCCTACGTTTCCATCCCATCCCATGTCACCCCATCCCCATGTCACCCCATCCCCATGTCACCCCATCCCCATGGCATCCCATGTCACCCCATCCCCATGTCATCCCATGGCATCCCATGTCACCCCATCCCCATGTCATCCCATGGCATCCCATGTCACCCCATCTCCATGTCATCCCATGTCATCCCATGGCATCCCATGTCATCCCATCCCCATGGCATCCCATGTCACCCCATCCCCATGTCATACCATGTCATCCCATTCCCATGGCATCCCATGTCACCCCATCCCCATGTCATCCCATGTCATCCCATCCCCATGGCATCCCATGTCATCCCATCCCCATGTCACCCATTCCCATCTCACCCCATGTCACCCCATCCCCATGTCACTCCATCCCCATGTTACCCCATCTCACCCTATGCCACCCTATCCCACCCACCCCACCCCACTCCACCCCACCCTGCCCCACCCTCACCAGCACAGCAGCAGGCACGGGCGGCACGCCCGTACTCACATCCGAGCGCCCCCCCGTGCGCTCGCTCGGTATCGCGAGTGGCATGGCACCCGGCGCGCATCTCGCAGTCTACAAAGTCCTCTGGACCAACGCCACTCTCGCCGGCTACGGCGAGCTGGCAGACGTGCATTACGCCATAGACCGGGCTATTAAAGACGGGGTTGACGTGCTGTCACTGTCGCTGGGTGGTTTGGGTCCGGATCAGCATTACTTTGATGATTTGCTGTATCTGCTGGCGAATCAGGCGGGCATGGTGGTGGTTACGGCGGCCGGGAATCTAGGCCCGGCGCCGAACCTGGGGTTGTGGAACCGGTTTGGGATCTACCGCACGATTAGTAACTTCTCGCCGTTTTACCTGACTGTGGGGGCGAGGTAGGTGGATGGGCTGAGATGTAATTGGGTGATATTGAAGCGATTGTGTGATTGGGTGGTTTTCATGCTGGTGTGGTTTGACACATCATAATGAGTCTTTTGGTGTGCCGGCTTGCTCGGTGATGCCCCTTCTCTGCTCTTCCCTCCTCTCCAATGCTCTTCTCTCTCTCCCTCCCCTATCAATCCCCGCTCCGAGCAGCTCCAATCACCCTCTCCTCCACACCCACCCACACACCCCCTCATTACTGGGAATCCCCCCCTCATCCACCCACCCACCCTGCTACCCACAGCTCCATAGGACGGCGTTTCCTCATGGAGCTGAGGCTGGGCAGTGGGCTCAGTGGGCTCAGTGGGTAGTGCACGCCTCTGGAGAGTGGGCTCTCTTCATCACACGCCTCTCTCCTCTGCTCTACCCTCCTCTCCTCTTCCATGCTCCTTCTGCCAGCTCCATAGGACAGCGTTTCCTCACGGAGCTGAGGCTGGGCGGTGGGCTCAGTGGGTGGTGTTCGCCTCTGGAGTGGGCTCATACACCTGCCTCCCCTCTCCCATAACCCCTCCCACTTACCCATCCATTATCCATCCTACCCACAGCTCCATAGGCCGCCGGTTCCTCACGGAGCTGAGACTGGGCAGTGGCAGGGTGGTGTACGCCTCTGGAGTGGGCTCGGGCACCTATGCCACGCGCCGCCTGCCGCTGCTCTCTGCTGCTGACGCTGCCGGCCCCGAAAGCTCTCTGGAAGGGGTGAGTTGCTGCTGGTGCTGGCGTTTGAGTCGACACTGAAGTCACTTCTGCATGTGGTGGGGGTGCGGTGGGTGGTTGGGGAAATCAGCCTGCCGCTGTTCTTTGCTGCCGACGCTGCCCGACCCGAAAGGTCACTGGCAGGGGTGCGTTGCTGCAGCGATTGGGGTGCGGGGTGGGTGTGGGGGGGATGACTGGTTGCTTACTGGGAAAGGGTGAGCTGCTGTAGCGTTGGGGTTATGGTGGGTGGGTGGGTGGGGGGACAAGCGGTTCGAACAGAGTGTGAGTTCCTGCAGTGGTGGAGGTACATCGAGTAATGCGGGGAGGGGAATTTCTGAAGTGTGTCAAAATGCGCCACCTGCCGCTGCTCTCTGCTGCCGACGCTGCCCGACCCGACAGCTCTCTGGACAGGGTGAGCTGCTGCAGACTGCAGTGGTGGCGGAGAAGTGGTGCGCGTGTGGGGGGAGAGAGGGGGTAAGCAGTTGCTGACTGGTAAGGATGAGTCGCGCTAGCACATTAGCTGGTTGCTAGCATCTACATTGGGTGCCGGATAGCGCTGGTGGTTAGGAAATACTGGGTACCTGGGATGGATATTGAGAGTTCCTGGATTGTCAAGGGGTGCTTCGTGGTTGTCTCCTGCCTTCTCTGCTTCTGCTCAATCATGCTAATCCTCATGCTTATGCTGCAGCTGAACCTGCTGCAGCATAAGCATCCCATCTCATCCCATCCCAAACCATTCCATCCCATCCCTTTCCCCCCCAAACACCAGGCCACCCACTGCCTACCGGAATCGCTCTCCCCTGCACGAGCACGGGGAGCCATAGTCCTCTGCACGCGGGGCATGGTGGGAGTCCAAGACAAGCTGCGCTCAGTGGCAGCAGCCGGAGGAGTAGCCATGATCCTTGCAAACGAAGACGGAGGCTTAATCGACCTCAACACCCTCTCTGCCACGGCCGGCGCGCCCATCCCGTTCATCCACGTCAATCTCGCGCAGGCTCGGATCATCCGAGCCTACATCCAGAACACGCCCAAACCTACTGCGACCATCATGGCCCGGTGCCACATTTTGGAAAACGCCGCGCCGCCCATGATTGCATCGTTCTCCTCCACTGGCCCCACGGTGAACCCGAGGTTTGGCGCGACCGCGCCCTACCCCACGAATGATATCTTAAAGCCAGATGTGGTTGCGCCTGGGGTGGACATTTGGGCTGCGTGGACTGGGCAGAGGCGTAGCCCCATTTCGCCGATGGCTGTTGTTAGGCCGAGGCGGGAGGAGGTGCGGAGCAGAGCTGCTGATGGTGACGCGTGGAGGGGAAGCAGGGAGTTCAACAACAACAACAACAACAGCAGCAGCAGCAGCAGCAGCAGCAGCAGCAGCAGCAAAGGCATTAGCAGCAGCAGCAACAACAACAACAACAACAACAACAACAACAACAACAACAACAACAACAACAACAACAACAACAACAACAACAACAACAACAACAACAACAGCTTTGGCATATCCCGCACCAGCAACGGCATACTCTCAGACGATTCACGGTCGAGACCAACAGCAATCACACGCACGCGACCCTTTTTCGCCCTCCTCTCCGGGACGTCCATGGCTACCCCCCACGTGGCTGGCATCGCAGCGATGGTCGTTCAGGCGCACCCCGGGTGGACGCCCGCTCAGGTCATGTCTGCCATTCTCACCACGGCCAGAAGCTCATACGCCCAACCCGCAGGATCCATGGCCCGGGTCAAGCCAAGGAACCCCACTGCGTTGCAACCACAGGACCCGCTGCACTTGCAGCACCCGCAGCAGCCACAGCTTCGGCCACGTCAGCCCAGAGGGCCGGGAGGAGCGCGTGTGAATCCTCCTCCTGCTAGGCGTGTGGTGGACGGGGTTCCAAGCTGGGGACTGCCGCCGCTGCATCAAGTGCCTAGAGTCTCCAGGCCTGTACCGGGGAGGCCTGCAACGAGGAGGCCTATAGCAGGGAGGCCTGTGACGGGAAGGCCTGTACGGAGTCTGGAGAGGAATAGGCAGATAGTAAGGGCGGAGAGGCTGGAAAAGGGCAAGGCAGGAGGGGGAGGGTTGGGAGTGCAAGGAGAGGATAGTTTGAGGCTTTCACTAGCAGCTGACTCTGGGAGTGGCAGAAGAAATTCTGAAACTAGCAGATATAATAGAGGGATTGTCAGCAGCAGCAGCAGCAGCAGCATCATCAGCAGCAGAAGCCTTAGGAGAAGCAGCAGACACAAAGCCACAACCTCAAGCACCACCACCAACTCCTCCCTGGTCTACCTTCCCATTCGAACATCTTCGGGCAAAATTGCCACGCCTTGGGACATGGGCCAAGGCCATATCTACCCTCCATCCATTCTTGACCCAGGACTGACATTCAACGCAGGGATATACAGTTACCTGAACTTCCTTGCAGGGCAAAGCATGACGCGAGCAAAGAAGCTTTGGCCCAAGTGGAAACTCAAGCCCAAAAAAGCATACAGGCTCAACCGTCCATCAATTTCCATCGGACGGCTGAGAGGCTCCGTGCTGGTGAAACGTTCAGTCACGAGCGTATCCAAGTCAACGAGCACTTATGAGGCGAAAATAGCAATGTTTCCGGGTAATGTGAAGGTTGTCGTGAAGCCGAGTAAGTTCACGATAAAGCCTGGGCAAATGGTGACATATGGCGTGAACCTGACGGTGCTCAAGCCGTCCCTGACGGGAGCATTTTCATATGGTAGTGTGGTATGGATGGATGAGAGAGGGCATGTGGTGCGATCAATACTTGCTGTACAGCCAGTAGCACTGAGATAACAATGCACACATTTACCGACTGTTGACCTGTATGAACTTAGGGTCCTTGTTGACGAATTGACTCAGAAGGTTTTTTATTGTCTCGATCTGTCAACAAGCAGTGATTGACAGTATTACTTTTATAAAAAGTAATGGTTTTTACCTGCCATATCTGTAAGGAATTTTCCGAATTCCTTATCGCGGTTGACTGCTTCGCGTACAACCCGATTTTCGGAGTTCGCACGTTCGGCCGATTTCAACGCTGCCGAGGCTCCTCACGTCGCCTTCGGTTTTCCCATCGCCAAACCTGCACCCAACCTCGCTCGTCCGAGGTTTCCTCCTAGCTAGAGTAGTCCTACATTAGTCTGTGCATTCAGTGTATTCGCAGTTGATTCAGTGACAGCTTCGTTATTCGTTTACCTGCGCACTCTCTCTTACAACTCATAACACCTGGTATCAGAGCTACTTTCCTAGTTCACCCCGCTTTTCCGAGGGTAGTTTGGTGGCATAGGGTGTGGCTGGTTTAGTGACTACACGACGGTTGGCTGCAGGGATTGTTAATTCAATCCTGCCCGACTCCGATAGTTCGTGTTTTCATTTGCCTGAAGGCCACGGAGACCCGATTGCCCACCAGACGTAGCGTTAGGCATATGGATCAGGAAGCGGTCAACAGGATGATGGCGCAAGTGGCAGAAATGCAGGAAAGAATGAAGACGTTAATGGCGGAAGTGACGACACTGCGAGAGGAAAACGCCGAACTACGCCAGACGCGAGGTGAAGCGCGTCAGGAGTCGCCTGTGGACGAAGGCGAGGGCAACAGTAAGGCGATGAGCAATCCATTGGATGCGTTGACACGTGACTTCGAAGAGGAGGATAGGCAGCGAGCGGCAGCAGCTCCAGTTGCAGTGACAATGATCAAGATCAAGCCCGTTAATCCACCCCCGTTTAATCCTACGGACAAGACGGTTACGGTAAAAGGGTGGTTGTTCGGGGTCGAAGTCTTTTTTACTGCAGCCGGAGTTAATGACGACGCCACGCGTATTAATTACGCAGTTTCGCTTCTTCGAGGTGCAGCACTTGAGTGGTGGCGCCGAACCTTGGAAACAGGGACGCCGACAGGTGTGACACATGCGGCAGACGGGACCTCTACAGTGACTTATCAAGTGGCAACATCGATCTTCGGAGTGACCACGATACGCACGTGGAAGGAGTGGGGCGCAGCCTTACGAGGTCGCTTCGAGCACGTATCCGCCTCGGAGCAAGCTCGCATGAAGCTGCGTGCATGGTCGCAGATGGCTTCTGTCCAAGACTACACGGCGTCATTTATGAGCCTCGCCGACCAAGTCGATGACATGTCGGAAGCTGAACGGCTGGATAAATACATCAGCGGCCTCAAATACGAGATACAGTACGAGGTTCGCAGGGGCTGTCCGACGTCATTTCTTGCAGCAGTATAGTTGGCGGAGTCCACAGATGCGCTGATGCAGTACGCGAAAGCAGCTTCCCGGGAGGGAAACCGTTTTTGTGGCCAGACCCATCGGACCACAATCAACGCCGCCCATACACCCGACCACCCTCCTAAGGGACCGTGTTTCCGGTGTGGGAAGACGGGTCACTACATGAAAGATTGCAACGAGAAAACGCCACTGACGGGGAACGACAAGAAGGAGCAGGGAAATGGGAAGAGTCAGTAATTAGCGGGCCCTTTACTGACTGTGCTCCGTCGCCCGAACCCCACCATCCTCACCGAGTCGTGGTTCCAATTCATGCAATCGATCGCACTCAGCCGAATAACGAGGATAATCACGTGGATCACCCTGTGCTGGTCGCTGGTAAGGTGTTAAAGAATAACCTGAAAATGTTCGTCGATGGAGGGGCCAGTCATAGCCTCTTCAATTTGGCGAGCGCAAAAAAATGCAAGCTGCAACTTGACAGGTGTCTGCCCGAAGTCGACGCTCGCCTCGTGGACGGGACGCCTCTGGCGATAACGGAAGAAACACGGACGGTCAGGATCGAATGCGGCGACGATTTCGGCTTCAGCATGAAGTTCCTCGCGTTAACTTTGGACGGCTGCGACGTACTGCTGGGACGCGATTGGCTGCGACGGCACAACCCCGTCATCGACTGGACAACGAGGACGTGCAGCATCAACAAGCACGAGGGGCTAATTAAGCTCCCTGCATGGACCCCTGACTACGTCCAAGCCCCGTGCGTCAAAGCCATCACTATAGCTCGCCACTTCAACAGGGGCGTGATGAGATAGAGGCGAGGAATGAGTGCACTATGAAATGAAACAAGTACAAGTACCAACCCTAATTGGGTTGTACCCCCTATGGGCTACCCCACTACAGCCTAAATATATGCATCAGTAATATAATCATCTGACACACCCCCATAGGCAAAGTGGGGGAGAGCAAGGGGTCACAAGACCAGTCAAGCAAAACAAAGCAAAGCAAAGCAAGCTCAGGGTGGATCTCAAGGATACCACACAAATTCCGAGCACAAGGTCAAGGCCACAAGGCCAGTTCACATGCAGCAGAGCATATATATATAACAGTGCTAAACAAGCAAGAGCAAGGAGATATATATGCAGCAGTACAAGCAAGGTCAAGAGGTAAGCAAGTGAGGCCCAGTGGGCACAAGGCCTAGCAAAGTGCAAAAGCCCTGATGGTCACGAGGCGGAAGTGCCTTGGTGAACACATCAGCAGTGTTGGCCTCAGTGGCCACGAAACGCAGGCGAAGCTGACCACGCTGCTGCAGCTCTCGAGCAAGGAAGTAGCGTAGAGCAATGTGCTTCGTCCTGTGCTCCAGTCTGTGCTCCTCACACAAGGCAATGGTTGCCTTGTTGTCGACGTACAGCACTGGAGGAGAACGAGGCCGCTCTCCAAGGTCAGTCAGCAGGTAGGTGAGCCAGCGAAGCTCCTGGGCAGCCATGGCCGTGGCGTAGATCTCAGCCTCACAGCTGGAGCTGAGAACCGAAGTAGAGCGAATAGAGCGCCAAGAGACAGAGCCAGGGCCAAGACTGAAGGTGTAACCCTGAGACGACCTCTGAGTAGCCTGGTCGTCAGCCCAAGAAGCGTCTGAGTGCCCAGTGAGCACAGGCCGCTCACGCCCTCCAAGCACTAGCCCCATGCCCGACGTACTGCACAAGTAGCGCAACACCCTCTTAGCTGCATCCATGTGCTCCTTCCGGTGACGGCCGGGAGCAACATAGCGTGCTAAGATGCTGAGAGGGTATGCGAGGTCAGGTCGAGTGCAAGTCATCAGGTACATGAGGCAGCCCACAAGCTCTGGATACGGACCACTCGACTCTACGGACTCATCCGAAGGCAGAGCTGAGAGCGAGTGTCCCGTAGGCAGAGGAGTGGACTGAGGCGAGGAGTACGTGAAGCCGAAGCGCTGAAGGACCTGCTGCACCATGTGTGACTGGGTCAGGGTAATGGTGCGGCGTGCTCTGTCCCGGGTGATCCGCAGGCCAAGATAGCTTGTCAGTTCACCCAGGTCTGTGCACGTGTGTCTCTTCTGCAGCTCGGACTTCACGTGGGCGAGTGCGGCAGTGTCCGCAGTGGCAAAGACCAAGTCGTCGACGTACACGAGGATGTAGAAAGGCGGCAGCGAGGTGTCGGTGCGCAGAAACAGCGACGGGTCAGCAGTAGAAGGAGCAAACCCAAGAGCCGCAAGCGTAGTCCTCAGTGTGTCGTGCCACTCACGCGGTGCCTGGCGGAGACCGTAGACTGGCCGTTGGAGGCTCCACTGGGTGCCAGGAGGGAAAGTCCCAGTGAAGCCAGGCGGACGGCGCAGCCAGATCTCCTCGTGCAGGCGGCCCTGCAGGAAAGCAGTGCTGAAGTCAAGAGAGTGTAGCTCATAGTCACGCTGAGCAGCGACGTGCAGTAGAACCCGAAGAGTGGTCATCTTCGGGGTCGGGGAGAAGGTCTGAAAGAAGTCAACTCCCTGTCGCTGACTGAAGCCACGAGCCACGTAGCGCGCCTTGAAGACAGGCGGAGAACCCGGCGGCCGCTTCACCCTGAAGATCCACATGCCACTGACAATGTTCGCCCCAGGAGGGGGAACAGCGTC